GGATCCTGTTTTGCTGAGATTGGTTGTTTGGTTTTTGGTTTGKTTTTTTTTATATGAGGGTTTGTGGGAYAGGGCTTTTTGCTTGYGGTTTTGCTTTTCTTTTTTTAAATCCAGGTTAGTTTCTTTCTGGTTCACAGTGCTGCCTTCTGGAACAGTAGTGGCAGCACAACTGAAAGGGCAGTATTTTGTGATATGRGTTATGGTAATGGTGAAAAAGGGAGGGAACTTCTTTGGCCCATCCCTGTTTGAAAACGGTGTGATATCTACATGGCAGAAGAAGAGACAGTGATTAAAAGAAGTCTTTCCACTTGTGCTCAAAATGTGTTCCTCAAGAATGCTTTGCTTTGAGGTCAGAGGAGAATCATACTGGGTTGGCAACACTGAAATTTGAGGCTTTCTGGGTACCCACAGTATGGGGGGGTCATTGGCTAATGTGCTTGCTACAGCACAGAGAGAATTCAACTTCGTCTTTGGGCCCCTGGCTGCAGATCTGTGAAAACACTTCACACTGCTTAAATTTTTATGRTTTGTCTTCTTTTTTTGAGCATTTCCCACTTACAGTATTTGGTGTTAATTTTAAAACATTTTTATACACCCACTTGCGCTTGTACTTGAACCATAAGATCTTTTTCTCTTCTGTTTCTTGGTAACATAATGTTTTGGTAGTCTTTGCTTAAGCCTGGAGATTAGGCAGTTGTCAGTTTTTGTTTTGCCTGTCTCAGTATCTGTTTCCTAGGGACAAAGTCATCCTGCAGATGGTTACTCCATTTCCGTCACCTAACCCTGCAGCATCCATTGAATCTTACTCAGAAAATACAGCAGTACAATTCTGTTTCTGATTATTTTTTCCCTAATGTGGGGAGCATGCCTTCGTAAGTCTTGCRTGAAATGCTTACATACAGATCTTTTTCTTATTACAGCTTTACATTCTGTCCCCAGACACCGTATTGGCTACGGTGCTATGGATCAGGAAGATTAGCAGTCTGCTCCTGTAATTTTTGTCAATTCTGTTTCTTAATTAGTGACTTAGAGGAGGTTTTTAAATAACTTGAAATACTACCTCATAGTTGATGGATGGGCCCTTTGCTCTCAGATTACCATTATTGATTCATAGTCTCTTCCTTTTGCTTTTCCTCCTTTTCCCTCCCTCCTCTCATCCATCYTCCCTCTAAGGACAAAAATTACAAGTATTTCTTCTGAGATATTTAATCACATAAAAATAATGGCTTAAAAATGCGGAGCACCAAAGTGTTTGTGCTGCCTTTGCTTGTGTCCATTTGATCATTCACTGAAATGAAACCAAAAGGATGAAGTAAAGTGGGCTGGTAACTGCTGCCATTTTTTAATCAGTTAATTCTCCCTTTCTTTTCCTGGGAACTAAATATCAAGGGGGAAGGGTAGATTTTTAGACCTTACAGGAGATGCTTGCCAAGAGTTTAGGAAGAGAGAAGGGTTGATACTATGATCTCCTGAAAACTCTTTTTATGCTCTCTTTCACAGTTTAATCCCTCTGATTTATGCTTCTTATATGTGWCCTTATTTCCCTGTAACATTTAAATGAATCATTACATATCTGTCAGACTTTAGGCTTTTGAGCAACTGCTGAAAGCAAAAGCGTCTCAGCTTCCAAATTAACAGCAATACTTACCACTTACAGAGTAGTTGAAATTTCTAGAAAAGCTGCCCTTACTTGTCGAGTTTTAATATGATTATGCTTCATGTTTTTGTTCAGAACTCTTGAATCAATGTGCAGATAAGCTATTTAAATTTCTCCTTGCTCTCCTGTTTTCTCATTGTCTGCCAAGGAAGCAGGTGGATATTCCCACTCAGCAGAATATAAATACTCTGAAATATGGAGTGGTGATCTGAACAACTTGAGATTAATTTGCAAATTGATAATTTGATTCCTTCAGCTATGCTTTCTATTTGCTATTTTATGATAAAATTATAGCTAATGTCTTTCTGTTTAAACACTTAAGCTTCATCTCTCAGCAAATACATCCAGGTGTTTATTTTCTCTGTTTTGAAATTGATCTTGGGAATTCGAACAGAACAAACCTATTTTAYTGTGCAAACATTATTTTCAGGCAAAAAATAATTATTTGATCTTTCATCTGTTGAAATGACTGGCAAAAATTTTGCTGTGAAGTCAGTTAAATCTGCAACAGAGGTTGTTTCATCAGTAGGGGAATGTAAGCATTCCTTAATCAAGATGTGTTTTTAGGAAATGTAACAATTTCATTTCCAGGCAGTGCTGATGCTTTTTACTTAGGAGTGAATGGTCATGTGTGGCTGCTTGATTTGTCTTTTGTTAATTAGAAAGTTACTGATAAATCATTATGAATTTAAGACAGGGCCAGAAGTACTGTCCTGTTAGATGGTTATACTTGTAAATGGTGCAAGCTCTCATCTAGGTATTGTATTCAAATCTCAACTTTAAAGACTGAATGTCCTTATTCATAATAGCTTGGTAATTGTCCAAAAGACTGTGTGTGCTGATTGCCGTGTCCTGATTTGTGCTTTTCTTTTATAAGATATTGTAAAAGATGGCMAGGTGGTTAATGGTCAACACATTTTTGTGTATTTTCGAAGGTAGATTTTTTTTTTCTACAAGTTTTTTAAGTCCACCTGAAGAAAATATTAGTGCCTCCGGAGGACAAGCTAATCCTTTTAATTTCTGGAGAATTTGGTGTCTGTTAKTATGCTGGCAAGTGGGTACTTCAGACACTGTTGCTCAGTACCATGCTTGTAATGTGTTCCTGCAGATATCGTAGGCGTAGATCAGCAGGATATGCAGTATCCCAAAGAACAGAAGTGCAGAGAATGTATCTTGAATGTACTGATTTTTGATTTTGACTGAGCCCTGAAGTTAAGAATTTGCAGCCTGAATGTAATAAGGTAACTTGTTCGTATACTCAACATGCTCTAGAACTTTTATAATCTTGTTTTGCCTGATTGTTGGCTGCTGTCTTCATCAGTAGCTTTTGCTGAAATTGGTGTGCGTCAAAGTTTGCTGTGCAGAATAAGACTGTGTACTAATTTTGACCCAGGTCTTAGTCAGAGCTTACTTGTGCAGCCATGGAGATAGTGAGACAAAATGAGGAAGGACCTTCTATGAAGCCTAGTAACTTCAGGTTGTATAAGCTGGGGTTGTGCAGGTCCACATCTTCTCTTTTTGAAATTGCCACTGTTCAACTGCAATACGTATGTTAATATCCATTTCTCTCACATATATAATTCAGTATCTTTTGCTTCTTGTTTACTGAGTGAAGTGTATATGGGCAGTGGACTTTGCTTTTCARTAGAAACTGTTTTAAAAGCAGTTATTATCTACAGTTATAAACAGTTTCCTGTCAATCAGAAGGACTTAAAATGATAGAAGTCTCCTTGTTGTGTGAGATCACGGGCCAAAGTTCTTTGCTGAATCTGTTGGTAAATTATACCACAGAAATATTTTTTTCTTGTAGGTAATATAGGCAGAATAAAGATAAGAGTTTAGTGAATAGGGACTTTCTGCTTAGTTGTAAACTTCCTTGTTGATAAGGAAGTTGCAGTTTTGTGGGGTTTTTTGTTTTTTTTTGTTTTTTTTTT